GGAATTTTTTTAATACACTGCCTTCTTGTATTTCCTAAGAAAATGCAGTTGATAAATATTTGAACAAATAAAATAAACCTAGTAATTTAGGAAGTTGCCTCTTACCAAGTCAAGACCATTGCTCCATTTAGCTCAGTATTGGCTACGCAGACAAATGTCCGTATCATGAGACTTGGTTTGTAGATTCTGAAATATTGTTTCCTGTGTTCTATCATTGCACAAAGATTGATGCTGCAGAATTTAGCGCCTCCCTCCCTCCTGGTCAATTTTATAGCCCTTATGGCTGTACACAGAGATTTGTAATAAAGTGTGGCCATCATACATGCACTGTTGGCAAACGCTCTTGGGGAGACGGCCCCCCCTCGAAATTACCAGGCTATAAGGTAAGTCTATGATCTCACTCTCTGTCTAGGTTAACCTAAGGGAATTTTGTTTCTGACACCCCTGTTGATTGGAAATGAACAAAACCAATGCATGTTGACTCATGACATTGGGTGTCATGTTACTTCCTGCTGCACATGTTCTTCAAACTTATAGAGGGTACTGGTTTAAGGGAGTCATTGTTAGGTTAGGGCTGTGTTAGTTGTATAAACCAGAGTTGGTAAACCTCAGCCCCAGGGGGTCAAAAATGGCTCTCCAGGTCTGTCTGTTTCTCTCTTGGGGTCCTTCCCAGACATATCCCAGTTCTACCTGGATGAAGGTGGGAATATGTGTGTGTATCCTACTATACAAAGGTAAGAGTCACAATTGTCACTTTTCCTCTGCCCCACCCACTTTTGCCTTTTATTCTGCACACCACTGACATGTGGCTCCTGAAAGATTATCAGCAAGGGGATGTGGCCCCTAGGCTGAAAAATGTTCCTCACCTTTGATATAAATAAAAGTAAAACAACTAAAACTAGTAATAATATCAGTTTGGCCAAGGTCTGAATAATCAAAGAACTTGGGGTGGGAGGTGGGACGGGGGGCGGGCGGCTCAGTAGGAATTTTAAATAAAGGCTGTTTGCTTTAGAGCTAAGAGACTTCTTCAAAGGCTTTCTCCCAACACCCATAGATTTTAAAAAAAATCGTCTGAGCATTTAAAAGTGTATTTCTCTTGCATATTCCTAACACATGCTTTCCTTAAACATAAATCCTACACCAACCTAGGACTGTTCATTAAATAACAAGCAGGGTTGTGGGTTGTTGCTTTTTTTTAAAAAAAAATCCAACAGTTTAAGAATTCCTTCTTCTTTAATTTGAAAATTAACTTGTTGCCTAAAGGTAACACTTCTCCGTTGACAAAATAATGGTAAGAGATTGACCTTTTCATGAATGGATTACAGGCAAGAAATAATATACTTTGTCACAGAGCATTAACTGTGCCTGTTGAAAAGGTAAAGACTGTGTACAGAGCTTATGATGTCAGTGGCTCCCTTAAAAATATTAATTATGTCAGTTAAAACACTTGAAGTCGTTGAGTCGGTGTCACATCCTGATGACTGGCATCTCTTAAATTCTCCTGCTTACAGCTCCATCTCAAAGAAAACAAAAGTAGTCACTGGGGGCGGGGGAGGGAGGAAGAGAATCCCCCTTTCTGTTCCTGAACCCAAGAGCCTGCTGGAATATGGACAGCAAATGTGGAATTCTTCTAAGGAGGCGGGGGAGAGAATTTAGTCCTGATTCGTGATGGGTATCATGTTACCTTCAGCTGCACATGTTCTTAAGACTTATGGAAGTTATTGGTTGAAGTGGGGGGTTATTTTCTGTACTGTGTTAGATCTACACATTGCTTATTTGAATGCAGAATCTGGGCCCCTTTGGACCACATCTGATTTTTTTTTGTTTGTGCATGTAACAGGCTATGCTTTATTTATTTATTCTGATCTAGAAAGATTTATAAACTCCCTAATCAAACAGCTCTCTAAGCTGTGTACACAATAAAACTGCAGATAAGACACAGCTAAAAGCCACAAAACTATTAAAAAAACAAATATAAGTAAGACAATTATAATTAAAGCACAGATAAAATCAGTAAAACTTTTAGAACCAAGATAGGTAACCGAATTATATGTTCTGGGTTGGCTTGCATCTAAAACCACTTAGTGAGACTGCCTGCTTAATGTCAAAGGACTCTGAAAGACCTCCTGTCCCGTGTAGATCTCATTTATTTATTTAATACCCGGCTCTTCCTCCACAGAGAGCCCAGAGCAGCAAACAGAAACACAAGTTAAAAACAACAAAAAAGCAAAAACATTCTAAAACATTCAAAACATTCAAAAAACTATTGCAATTAAAAGCATCTAAAAGCAGTTTCTGTTAAAAACCCCTCCACATTATTCCATGCAGTGGTCACGGGGCTGGCCAGAACAGTCACCAAGTGCAAGCGTGAACAGGAATGTGGTAATTGGAAAAAGCCATCTTCTAGTATTGACACTATATAGGGCATATATAAAATGGGACTTAAAAGGATATTGTATTAGATACCTGGGGGCCAGATCGTTGTGGGTGGAAGTGTCTGAAACTGACCCCTGAAGAAGAAGCACCTGGCCTCATCTTGGGACACTGCCCTCCTTCCCAGACACAGAGCATATGCAGAGGAGAACAGTAGAATAGATGTACCTGGTCTACCCCTAGCAAAAGGCACTCTCTTTCTCTGCCTTAGGGATAGAGTCAGGCAACAGATCTGGATGCAGGAAAAGCAGCTAAAAGCAACATTGGGAAAAGGCAGTACCACTCCCACTTGTGGAACAAGACCCTCCTGACAGTAGAGGATGGCCCATTATAGCAAATGGGGCACTGCCCACTAACCTAAGCTTGTTCTCAGCTCCGCCCCCACCTGCCTGCCTTCCTACTTACAACCAGGACAGAGGATAGCGCTGTCTGACAGGTTCCTCCTCTATCTTAGTATTGTCTCTTGTAGAACTCAGCAGGCAGGAGGATGGGGACAAAACTAGAATTAGTTGGCTCTGCCTGTCATCAGCTCTGGCTCCACCTACTTTTGGGCTCCCTGCCTCCCACTCCAACAGTCTCTATGGGCACCTGTTGCCATGGGTCTATGGTGGCCATTTTCTGGGAGACTCTCTCTCTCCTCATGAAAATGAAAATTTGTCAGCATTTTAGAGAGAATTTTTCCTAACCTTCAGATTTTGTATGCACTTTTGACTTACAGACACATTTCTGCAAGCAATCTCTCCCCCCCCCCCATTTATGCACATGGTTGGAGATCTGCCTTGCAAAATTCAGTGAACTTTGAATAGTGCAGGATGGCTGTGTTTCGGTATTGCATTTTGTTTCAATGCATTTGGTAGTTTCTCCTTTAAATGCGAACTGAATTGATTTTCTCCCCCATCCCTAATGAGGAGTGTGGCCTGTGGAAAGGAGCTATAGGGAGTTCCTATGGTCAGATATAAAGGCTTTCAGGGACTCCATTTGGCCTCAGAGCCTGAGGGTCCCCTTCTCTGATATAAAGTAACTTTGAGGCTCCACCCTCAAAGGAACAGGCAAATACGGAGCCTAGGCACTCATGGTGAGTTAATTCAGCAACACCAAGACCTGCATTAAACAATGTTTAGAAGATGAAGAGTTTAAAAGACCCTGAGAAATAAACAAAACAACAGGTATTCAACCTGGTACTGAAAAGACCACAAAGTGGGTGCCAGGGAGAATATTTCACAGCCAGGGAGCCAACACTGAAAGGGCTTTCTCCAATAGTTACCCCTCACACTTTGCTTGCTGGGTGCACCCAAGAAGGGCTTTGGAGGATGAGGTCCAGGTAAGTACACATAGGAAGAGACAATCCTTAATGTAGAGCAATAGAATTGTAGAGTTGGAAGAGACACCAAGGTCATCTAGTCAAACGTCTTGCAATGCAGTAACCACAGCTAAAGAATCCCTGACAGATGGCCATTAAACCTCTGTTTAAAAACCTCCAATGAAGGAGTGTCTGTCACCTTCCAAGGTAGTCCATTCCACTGTTGAACAGCTCTTGCCACCAAAAAGTTCTTCCTAATGTTTACTCAGAGTCTCCTTCTTATCGTTGGTTCTGGCCTGGGGAAACCCAGACAGATGGGTGGGGTATAAACAATAATAATAATAATAATAATAATAATAATAATAATAATCCTACCCTCTTGAGTAACAGGAAAGAAGCCCTTGTGACAGCCCTTCAGATATAAGAAGATGCCTATCGTATCACCTCTAGGTCTTCTCTAGGTCAAAGATACCCAATTCCCTCAACCATTCCTCATAAGGCTTGGTTTCCAGACCCTTGTCCATGTTGGTTGCCCTCCTCTGCACACCTTCCAGCTTGTCAATCACCAGCACCACCACCTTTCTTAAACTGTGGTGCCCAGAATTGGACACAGTGCTCCAGGTGGGGTATCTCACTTTGAACTGAGTTGAAAGATGGGCTGGAAGGGATGGTCCTTCCTTGCAGAAAATTTAGGCAGATAGGAAGCTTTTTATGGGGACACTCCCAGCTCTACCTGAGTTGCGAGGACCTTCATGCACAGCAGATGCTCTGCCACTGAACTATGGTCCTTCCACATAGCTCTCAAGTGCTGTCTCCATGATATGCGATGAACGTGTAAATGCCCAACTTTCCTTCCTCTGTAGAAGTTCAGCAAAGTTCTACGCAGTGACTAAACCACACGGGTTTGGGGTTTATTATGCAGATGGATTCTGCACTCTTCTGTTTTTCACCCCCCTCCCTTTTATCCACTTTTTGTGGATAAAATGTTTTGAATTAGAATAGCTTACTCAAGGTCACTGAAGGCATATGGTCCTGCTCAAAACTTTAAACAAAACATTAGTTTTTACAACCCTTTGTAATTTGGTATTGTATACAACACGGTCATCGACGGGCTCACTGTAATCTTTTTCAGTGGGTGACAGAAATATGAGAGGCAAATTTATAAGCCATTTAGTGAAGCATTTAATCAATTTCATGCATAGGAAATAACTCCAATTGCTTTGCTTTATCAATCTTCCTTTTATTCCCCCACCCCGCCATCCTGCAGAAATGCTGTTGTCGTGCTTTCCAGATATACGGAAAATCTGGAACAATTGAGGACGGATGCAGATTCTTGCAGCACATCAGGAAACTTCTGAGGACCAACTTAGTTTGCCATTCATTGCCAGCTTCAAGAATCCCATGTTTTTGGAAACTGTGAACAAGTTTCCAGGGAGGGTGCAGGGAGGGAGAATTCTGAACATTTGCAGAGAGCAGCACAGCGCCATAGTTATTTATTAAACCCTCCTAGCCTAGAATGACCTCCTGACATTGCACAGAGGAGCAATTCCTAAAAGTACCCACAATGGCTCAAACATATATAGGTGATCTAGGTAGCTCTGCCAGGGTGCCAAAATTAGGAAGGGGCCATATCCCAAAGGCAGAACATATGTTTGGCATGCAGAAAGTCTCCACTCCAGGCTCCTGACTTAAATCATGGGCAAGGGAGGGGGAAATTTCTATTGAGAGCTGCATTCCCTCAGAGGTAATCTATTGGTAAGAGCAGGAAGCAAAAAATGGAGCCAGAGCTAAACATACCATTTTTCTTTTCTCTTTTTGCTAACCTAGTCTCCCTCCACCCTCCCTCTCCCCAGCACTCTTTTTCCTCTCTCTTTCCCACCCAGGGAAGGGACAAATTTCTCTTGCTGGAGCCTCAACTGATTACTTGCAGAGACCTTATTTATTTGTTATTTACACCATGTGCAACAATAGCTCTTATTCTTTATTATGCTGTATCTTTTATTCTTTATTTAACCTTTTCAGCATGGGTGGTGCTGTGGTTTAAACCACAGAGCCAAGGGCTTGCCAATCGGAAGGTCGGCGCTTCGAATCCTCGCGACGGGGTGAGCTCCCATTGTTTGGTCCCAGCTCCTGCCAACCTAGCAGTTTGAAAGCACGTCAAAGTGCAAGTAGATAAATAGGTACCACTCCGGTGGGAAGGTAAACAGTGTTTCCGTGCACTGCTCTGGTTTGCCAGAAGCGGCTTGGTCATGCTGGTCACATGACCCGGAAGCTGTTTGCGGACAAACGCCGGCTCCCTCGGCCTATAGAGCGAGATGAGCACGCAACCCCAGAGTCGTCCGCAACTGGACCTAACGGTCAGGGGGTACCTTTACCTTTTACCACATGGCTCCAGAGATCTGGGCTCCCATAATAATAGAATGTTTGACAAATGCGAAGAGCCACACGCTGACCACTGGATGTTTGTGCCTAATGTGTTCCTTGGTAGTATAGGCTCATGTCGGTTCAGTTTAGCGAAGAGCCACTGGGAGAGCTTATCCTTCCTGAATTTGGTAGTCCTTTTAAAAAGCCTGCTGAGGATTGTGATCACTTCATGATTATGCATGGATCCTGGTCACAGTGACCCTTATTTCTCTGTCTCTGCCCCTTCTCATGCCACCCACCCTGCACCCACCAGCTAGTGGCTTGGAGCAGAGTTGGAGAAACGTGACAAGCACGTGGCAAATCGTACTAGATGAGCCTTCCCCATCCTAGTGCCTTCTAGATGCTTTGGACTACAGCTCCCATCATGCTGGTTGGCACTGATGGAATAAAAAACTTACAGAAGACACCTGGTTGGTGAAGGCTGAGCTAGATGATCTGGAGGGGAGAAAAGATAGAGAAACTAGATTTGTAGTTGCTCATTTTGACACATTCATAGTACACTCCTCCTATGCATGTTTACTCAGGATTGTTGGTTCAGTAGAGCTTAGTCACATTAAGTGTGCTTAGGACTGTAGCATTAAAATGCAATTCTGTGCATGTTTACTCAGAAGTAAACCTGTCTGTGTTCAGCTGGGCTTCCTCCAAGGATTGCAACTTTACTGTCAAGTCTACTCCAGCCTAGCAATAAAACCATCTCTCTCTCTCTCTCTGTTTTCAAAACATAGTATTTTATGGAAGTAATTTATATATGAAAAAGAAGGAGGCGATTCTCAATATTATCTTTATCTTCTAGACATAAAGTCACAAACAACTCCAGTAATCAAAATTTACTACAACTGTAATAGGTTTTGGCACCATTTATGTATTGCAAGAAATGTTAACACAATGTTGACTTCCTGAGCTGGGGCTAGAAAGTTTCTTTTCTTTTTTCTTTTTTAAAGCCCAATTTCATTATAAAACATATAGTGTATTCGTGGCTTTTATGATGTCGGAGAGATTAATTCTCATAAATAAGATTGCTTGTACCTTCTTCTAATCAAAAAGCCGACACTATCTGTGATGGTGCGCAAGCGAAATAAGAAGAAAAGTATTTCAGTGTGTAATCTGTGTGGCATCAGGGGCAACGGGCAGTGAGGGCATAAATGCGGTAGGACAGCTGTGCTTTATTTCTGTCACTGCATGATAATAATAATAATAATAATAATAATAATAATAATAATAATAATAATTTATATCCCACCCATCTGGCTGGGTTTCCCCAGCCACTCTGGGCAGCTCCCAACAAAATATTAAAAATACGATAAAACATCAAACATTAAAAACTCCCCTAAACAGGGCTGCCTTCAGATGTCTTCTAAAAGTCAGATAGTTGTTTATTTTCTTGACATCTGATGGGAGGGCGTTCCATAGGGCGGGTGCCACTACCGAGAAGGCCCTCTGCCTGCTTCCCTGTAACCTTACTTCTTGCAGGGAGGGAACTGCCAGAAGACAGCTGGAGCCGGACCTCTGTGTCCAGGCTGAATGATGGGGGTGGAGACACCATTTAGGGCTTTAAAGGTCAGCACCCACGCTTTGAATTGTGCTCGGAAATGTACTGGGAGTCAATGTAGGTCTTGCAGGACCAGTGTTATGTGGTCTCGGTGGCCACTCGGAGGCCACCAGTCTAGCTGCTGCATTCTGCATAAAGAGATGGGCAGGCTGTTAATACAAATGGAGATACTTGATAACTTTTTCACTTTCTGGAAGGTTGCTGAGCCTTTCTGTCACGTCATTTAAATTAACTGGTGCAGCCATGTTCAAATTTGAAGTGATAGCTCTCCTCAAGGAAGTTTCAAGTCCTCATGATGGAACAGAGGATTTGGGAGGTGGGGAGGGGGTGTTGTAGCACTGTGCCCTAGAAGACAAAAACCATCGAATTAAATAAGGCCCTGACATTATTACAGCATTCTTTATTTCAAAAGATTTTGTAATTCTTTTCTAGATTGGGTCAAGGTGCCAACGATCAGTACATCATACATGTGTATATTGGTACAGAGGAAACTGGGTGGGTATGGGAGATGCAAGGCAGCCTGTGGATTTGATAACCTCTCCCGCTAAAAACTGATCAATGGAATAATGGAGCAAGGCAGAGTTTACTGGCTGTCTGTACATTGATGCTGGCTACATATAAGAACTCTAGTTTTACTGGTTAGATCAGTAAATTACAGGCCGCTGAACAATCCATCCCCTATGGGAAGGCCCTAATGGAACCTGGATCAGCCAATCAGAAGTTTTCCTCAGAAGGTTCATTCTGCACATGCACCTCCCCGATTGGTCCCTCTATCCTGCCTCCTCCCATCACCAATTCCTTCCCAATTCCTTTGGAATAGTCTCGTTGCCTTGCCCTCAGAAAGCAATTCTGTAAACATGGATTATGCGATATAAAGACCAGCTTTCCTCCACTACAATTATGTCCCTGGCTAATGGTAGTGTCTGGCCAGCTCGCTTCCTTGGCCATTTAAAGGGACACTCACCCTGCTTTCCAAGTCGGCATCTATCAAAGAGACACATTGATTTCCTTTCTAGGGGGAAGCACATATTTCTTCCCTCTTCCTAAGTAGATAAATCTGACAGCTTTTAATCAAATGTAGTTGTTCACAAGTAGAGAAATGTTTCCACCAGCGCAGAGCAAAACATTAAAAACACAACACAACAAAAAAATAATCTGGTGGCGGCTTTGTTCTAGGCACCCTCCTCTTCCACGACACACACCTGTGCTCTGAAAACCTAAGTGTATGCACGAGCCGTTAACATTTCAGAATGCCCCGAGGGCAGGTTTAACTTTACTACCCTCCCAACATAATACCTTCCTTGTAGTGGTAACCATGAATACTGCTATAGTTAAAGGTCTGCTAGTGGTTCCACCATAAACTCTCCTGTTTTCCAGGTTTTTACAACTTGCCGTAAAAAAAACCCTCTCTCCAAGTTGCAGCTCAGCAAGGAAGACGGGATTCAGATGGGGGTGGGGGAGGCAGGTGAGATACACACGGACCCATCTAGCTTGTAAAATTAGCTTTTCTTGTTTATAGATGTGCTTTCCTTCAGCTCGCGGGCTGGATACTGTGTATGCGTATGTGTGTAGAAGAAAAGCAGTCGAGCCAGCCACCCCCATCAAAACACAATCAAATTTCATCCAATCTAAAAAGGGTCAAAACATTCCCACTTTCTTTTCTGGTTTAAGCTTGAGTATTAAAAGTCCGGCTAATCATTTTTTTTTAAAAAAAAAACATTTTTTATTAAATTTTCTATTACACATTTTCCACATTTATACATTAGCCAATTAAACAATACATTGAATGTCAACTTCCCTTCCCACTGCTTCCTTGGTTCCTTTTAATATCCCATTATTACTGCATATTCTGATTACCCCATATATAAAAGTCCTGCTAATCAGGTTGGCTGGGAATGTGTCCTAACAGGGCCGGGCCTATCATTAGGCAGAGTGAAGCAATTGCCTCGGGTGGCAATGTTCACTACACCTGATCCTCCTGAGCCTCCTAGGAAACACTTTCTGTTGGAGACCAAAGCTATGTGCACCACAGCCTGTTATATACTCACTAAACTGCCTCGCTGCACTCGACTGCACTGAAGTAAGATTCAGTGGCCAGTCCAATCAGCTTCTTCATCTGAAATTAGGAGGTCACCATTTTGTCCTATGCCTCAGGAGCTCCTTGCTTTAAAAGATGCTGGGCTTAAGGTTGGGTAAAGATGCCAATTTTAGTTTCTGTCATAGAACTGGATCAGACTGCAATTAAAAGCGCATATGACTGAGTCCACATTCTGGGAACTATAGTTTGCTAAGGGTGTTGAAAGTTGTTAGGTGACCCCTAGTCCTCTCACAGAGCACCAGTGCTCAGAGTGGCTTAACAATCAATCCATATTTAAAGGGAACTATTGTAATTGTGGCTCTGTGAGGGGAATAGGGATCTCCTAACAATTCCTAGCACCTTTAACCGACCATGGTACCCAGGATTCTCTGGGGAAAGCCTTTGCTGTTTAAAGTGGTGCTATAGTGCTTTAAATGTATGCTGTGAATGGGTCCTCAGTTTCTCATTTTTTTCCAGTCTTAGGTTCATTTCTCCACACTTGCACATCACTTTATGATTTTTTTTAAAATTAAAATTGGTATATGTTTCTCATAAGGTATACATATTTTCATGCAAAGTTTCATAATACATACATTTTTGCACAGCAATTTTGACTTAATATGTTTCATTTTTGCAGGCCCTTTTCACTAATATATGCATTTTACGCACACTTTTCTCTATATGGATTTTTGTGCACATAACGTAGCTGGAGAACTGCATTGCACGATCTAGAGGACTGTGCATTTTGAGGGTAACTGTTTTTCAGTTTGTGTATTCTTTGGGGAAAATATGAATTTTCACCTTTCAATGCAAATGGAATCCAATTCCTCCCCCCATCCCTGTCCAGCTACCATAGCATTGCTAGAGGGTGTTACTTCTGTGGATCCTCAACCCACAACCATCTCCGTGTCTCAAAAGAGCAGAAAAGCTGCATTACTGATTTGAAAAGTAAATTTCAAGGTTTCTTTTCTATGTGGTTCCAATGGGGGGGGGAGGTGTTATCCATCCATCCCCCTTTTAGTTGATTGTTAGACACCTTGAATTATTTGCATGATAATGCCCCACTATAAATGGATTATATTGTAACCTATTGAGCTTTGTTGGTTTAATGCTGACAATGGCATGATTCGGAAGTAAGATAGCAAATGGACTCTTTAGAGAAATTTCTTTTGATAAGCATGAGGCAAAGAAGTTGGGTGGACAGGGAAGATAGAAGAGGCGTTGAATGAGAAGAGTGGCGGTGAAAGGAGAGAAGGCTATACGTGAAGCAGGGAGTGCTTTGCTAGGGAAAAAAACAACACAAATCCAAATTTTGCATCCCTTTCCAGTTGTGATGGATTTGGATACAGGAAATTAATGAATAATTGAAGTATTTTTCAACAGGATTATGTACCTTTTCAGGGAGCAGATTGGCCCTTTACCAGCTATAGTAGCTAGCAAAGAAACAAAATAGCTGGGCCATCACTGCCGACAGGCCTTGTGCCCCTCAGCAACATCCAAAGGCCCTGATCCACTAGGTGCTGGGGTGGATCGCACCCTGCACCTTGCAGAGTCAGGCTCAGGTTGCCAATGGGCCCAGCACTGGCGGCAGCAACAAGCAACTGTAGCTCGCCCAGCCCTCCCCATTGCCACTTCACCACTGCACTTATCTGACCTGTGGGTTCTGGATCACAGGCTCTACTGGTCAAAATGGGAGCCTCAGCGATCACCCTCTACCACCAGAAACAAACCAGGACTGCTCCAACAAAATGCACATGGCAAAAAGGAGCTCTAGTCCCTGGTGGGCTGCCCCCTTACCCACTTGTGATTGGCCAAGTGGATAGCCAGCCAATCAGGATTTCCCCCCCTTCACTTCTCACTTCCCTCTGTGGCCCACTAGACTCTTGCTGTGAACCCTCATTAATGCATTTTCCTCCTGTGGCCCCCTCATTTGGGGAGCACTATTAGGGAAACTATAGGGTTGCCCCCTAAACCTCAACCAACCCCAATCTTCCTCCCTTCTTATTTACAACCAGTCCAGAGTGTGATGCTAAGTGTCAACTTTCTTTCCCCCCTTAGTCTCAATGTTGTCTTCCTTGTAGAACTCAGCAGGAAGAAGGATGGGGACAAAGATAGCCTCACTTGGCTCTGCCTGTCATTGGCCTTGGCACCACCTTGGGCTTCCTGTCTTCCACCTTACCAGTCCCAATGGACACCAGGCACAGCTGCCTTCCAGCCCAACACTGGCCCATTAAGACCTCCAACTGATCCAACCAGGCAACCCTTTTGTGATGTCTTATTTAAGTTCCTATTGCTAACGGTCCACATTTTATTTTCTCTTTGACTCTTTCTTCCTCTTGATGAATTGAGAAATATTGTCTTCAAAAGCACTTTGATCAATGTTTTCTAAAAATAAAGCGAGGAAGTTTCTCTTGGAAAAAAAGAGTTGACAGAGGCCTTTGAAATTGTGGAGTGGAACTAAACTATTAGCCAACCTACTGTGCGCCATCACGAGAAAGCCTGATCCCATTTAAGCCCCACTATGCATTGCCAGAACACTTTAAAGAGAACATGGAACTCGGTGTTTTCTTAAGTCTATGAAGCACAACAACACTAAAAAAAGTATATATTTTTAAAAATTGGCTTCTGTACATTATTCACTAAATAAAGAACGTTGACAACAACACAGACTGAAATCTCTTCTCTGTGTGTATGTTTGTTTCTTGCTTTATTGAAGTCAATGGGATTGCACGGATGTCAAAAGAATTTTGCTCTTTGAACGTTTCAGTGCTTTGCTGAAAAGCTTAACCGATACTTTGTTTCACGGAGGCATTTAGTCTAGTTTAGACCCAGGGCTGTTGGTCCCCCACCCATTGCTTTTCTCCAACCACAACTAAGAGAAGGAGGAAAATCCATTAAAATGAAAGCTGGTCACTAGTTAATTTAGAGTTGAATTCACACATATAGGTTTGATATTTGATGACTGGTAGCTCAAGGGGCAACGCCATCCTTAGACACCCATAAAATCATGAACTGGTTTGTTTGGAGGAACTTTCTGGAAAAAAAACCAGTAATATTTTTATCATCATCACCCTCCGTTTGCACACCTGTGAATGCAGTATCACATTATCACAGATCTGATGAAAAAGATGAAGGGGTTTTAGAACATCCCACAATTTGCACATTCAGCTGACAATCCTCATGAGTAAAGTTGTCAAGTGTAAAGAAGTCAAAAGCTGTGGATTTGTGTGGGAGACAAATTTATAGGGACTTATTTGTGCACTCCCCCACCCATCCAATGTGGGGCCCTAATCTGACCAGGGACAATCTGAAACAACACAACCCAGATGAATCAGGGCCCTTAGTCTTTAATTGGGGTGACTGAGAGGGCGAGTGATGATGCACACAGGTAGTCTGAGCTATGTCTCCTCCTCCCCCATTCTCCTCACTGCTCAACCACCCCCTTTTTAAGAGTCCCAGATCCCAGCTTGACCAGAATCTGTCCAATTCAGTTTGGCATCTGGGATTTGGCCATAGCTGCTGCACAGACCTAGCTTTTAGCACTATGGCAATGGAAGCCATTGCATAGCTTATCAATATTACTGGTCATTTACAAGACGAATCGAGGCAAGCTATGTTGAGCAGACCACAATAGTGAGCTGAAAAGTTGACACTCATAAAAACATAAGAATAGCCCTGCTTGATCAGGTCAAAATCTGATGTGGTTCTGCATTTTGTTTGCATGGTGGCCAACCACATGCCTCAATGGGAAGCCCATCATCTGGTATTCAGAGGCAAGCCACCGCTGCCAGTGGAATAGAACTTAGCCATTATGGCTAAAGCCACCTAAATTGGTGGCCAGCAAAATCTGCTGAATGCCAGTAATCTCAGACAAATCTTGTATAAATGGAACAATAAGTCCACATCTGCTCATGTCTATTTACTTGGCAGTCACCACATATGGGCCTTGTCTTGGTTTTTACAACATTTTGAAGATCATTTGTGAAAGGTTGTTGCCAAGGTAATCCAAAGTCCTGGCTTTCAGTTCACATCTTTACAGTTCGGAAAGGTAGCAATTGGATACTGGCCAAAGCGCCTGGGTCTACCTTGCAGGAGATGACAGGGGAAGGAAGTGTGGACCCAGAAGAGGTTGGATATCTGCTAGTTTCTCTGGTACTTTATATCAGGGATGGGGAACCTTTCCCAGCCTAAGAGCCACATTCCTTCATTGTTAACCTTCTGGGGGCCATAAACCAGTGGTAGGCAAGGCCAGAGACAAAAGATGGATTGGAACAAACTCAAAAGTGGGTGGAGCAATGGTTCTCACTCTTATATTTGTATAATAGGCTATATTCAAGTCAAAAGGACCCATAGGTTTAGATCCATCCTTCCTCCAGGCAAGCAATAGTTCAAACATACATTCCAACCAGAGAAAAGCCTTTGATGATGGCATGGAGGTTCAGGGCTTGGGGGAGAAGTTAGGGCCAGTTAAAGAAGTTGTGAGGGCTGCATTTGGCTTATGGAGCTGAGTTTCCCAACCATACTGCCCATGGAGCTAGCTGATGATGGAGACCTCTGCATGCTCTTGGTCTGGGCTCTGAGGAGCAACAGTGGTTAGCGATTTGGGGTCACAGGGGGTCAAAGACCCATTACTATTTCTGAAGCAGGGTTGCTGTCTCCAGAGGCCCATTGCCACCCAATTAGCATTAAAGCAGAGTTTTTTAGTCACTGTATGATGCAAAGCTAAGTGTTCAGGGAAACTGAAAACACAAGGTGCTTCGGTTTCAAGAGAATGGTGTGCAAGTTCTGTTAAGTACAGTGGAACTTCATGGAAAACACAGATTAAGTCATTCTGAAACATGGTATCAGAGCACTTGGAATCATTTGCCCATGTATGTAAACAGAGAAGAGTAGATCTAGCTGAAAGGTAACATACGGAGATCTGCATTGATTGTTGTAATACGTTCCTAATTACAGTGGTACCTCGGGTTACAAACACCTTGGGTTACAAACACTTTGGGTTACAGACTCCGCTAACCTGGAAGTAGTACCTCGGGTTAAGAACTTTGCTTCAGGATGAGAACAGAAATCGCACAACGGCAGTGTGGCGGCAGTGGGAGGCCCCATTAGCTGAAGTGGTGCTTCAGGTTAAGAACAGTTTCAGGTTAAGAACGGACCTCCGGAACAAATTAAGTTGGTAACCAGAGGTACCACAGTATTATTATTCTTCTTGTTGTTGTTGTTGTTGTTGTTGTTTAGTCGTTTAGTCGTGTCCAACTCTTCGTGACCCCATGGACCAGAGCACGCCAGGCACTTCTGTCCTCCACTGCCTCCCGCAGTTTGATCAAATTCATGCTGGTAGCTTCAAGAACACCATCCAACCATCCAACCATCATCATCATCATTATTATTATTATATAAATATAAGATTATTGTATAATCTTAGAAGGGGCATGGCTGTCACAGGGACTGTCATAAAGGGATCCTGCCACTGCACTTCTGCTGGGCAGGGTGGAGCAGGATGAGGCTCTCACAAATGTTTACACCCTCCTTGTCATCTCCATCTCACAGAGAACCACAAAGGCCACAACATTAGATGTATGTATGAATCAAAGTGAACACTTTACAATTGGCGGTTCACACCTTTTGTGACTTTTATTACCTTCTATCCACTCCGCATCATCATATATGTAATCGACCATTCCCAATGTGATAGTTCAGAAGAACTTTTGTTCACTATGTGGTCATTTGGTGAGAAGGCCTCTAAATGGGAAAAAATCAATAACGCTGATGATGTATTGTGCAAATGCATTTCTGTTGATGCGGCAAACAGATATGATGATGAAAGATCAATTTTTGTGGTGAGGTTCTTGCCTCTCAACTGATATCAAAACATTTTTCATACATTTATGCTATTGACATTTGGTAAGATGCAGTGATGCTGGCTGGTGTCAGCGCTCTCTCTCTCTCTCTCTGTCAGACACTTCTGGGCACTGCTTCACAGTGATGTGCAATGATTCGTCAACAAACTGTGACCAGTCCCAGGACAGGAAAATAGGTTTTCAGATGGAGAGGTCGAAATTGGAAACAGAAGTGTTAGAACCCAATACTAAGAATTTGTCAAGAATGTATAATTTGCTGCTGAAATGGAATACACAAGATGAAACAGTAAAATCAGTTATGATCAAATGGGCACAAGACATAGGTCATGACATTATGTTTGATGACTGGGAAAGGTTATGGAATACTGGTGTTAGATTTACGGCTTGTAATGCTTTGAGAGAAAACATAATGAAAATGATCTACAGGTGGTACATGACCCCAGTCAAATTAGCAAAAATTTATCATCTGCCCAATAATAAATGTTGGAAATGTAATGAGACTGAAGGTACTTTCTATCACCTTTGGTGGACCTGCCCGAAGATTAAAGCCTACTGGGAAATGATCTATAATGAAATTAAAAAGGTCCTTAAATGGACATTTTCTAAAAAACCAGAGGCTTTTCTCCTGGGCATGGTGGGCCAATTGGTGCCAAGGAAGGACAGAACTTTTTTTATGTATGCTACCACAGCAGCAAGAATTCTTCTGGCAAAGTATTGGAAGACGCAGCAGCTACCCACTCTGGAAGAATGGCAAGCGAAGGTGATTGACTACATGGGAATGGCAGAGATGACCGGCAGAATCCGTGACCAGGGGAGTGAGACAGTGGAAGAAGATTGGAAGAAATTTAAAATATACCTTAAAAATTGTTGTAACATTCAGGAGTGCTGAGATGTTATGGTGTTAAGAAACAGAGAATTGCAGCTGTAAATCATGAATCTAAGGGAATTATAAAGAAGACGAGTTAATTAATTAAATGGAGGGTTGCTGTTAAAAGGAAAAATAAGGATGCAGAAAAAGGGAGGTATGGGGAAGTCCGGGAAATAAGGTGAAGGAAAATGAGTTTATGAAATTATACATGTTTATTTGTTTGTATGTTTTATTTTGTTTTATTGTTTGTTGTTATTACATGTTTGGAAAATTAATAAAAATTATTTTAAAAAACAAAAAAAACAAACTGTGACCAGTCCCAACTAACTTTAATCTATGAATGAAGCCTCAAAAGTCTAAGAAAGTATCAAATATAGAAAGAGCTTGAACAAAAACCATTGGCATAGAAATGCATCCAAGAAAGGTAATGTGAGAAGACAGTACTCCTGCAATACTCCAAGTAATCTGGAAAGTGTTAAGACTTTGGGCAAGCAGAAACTGTATTAAATAAGAGTAGAATTTACAGAGGGTGATGCATTAGATAGACAATGAATTATGATCCTTAAAGATAACCTATTGAGACAGCAACTTTATTGTTGGCAGAGAACATAGGGTTCTACTTGGAAGTAGGGTGATCAGATCAATGTTAGGGCTAGCCCTACCATTAGTCAGAATGAGGCAGCTGCCACAAATGGTAGGTATTGAGTATGGTTACGGTATACACAAGCTTGTATATTGTGTATCCAACCAAGATTGAATGTAACAGTTCATGCAGCAGATGTTACAGAACTTCCTTTCTCTCTCCTTCCCCCAATTTTCCCCATATCAGTTCTACGTTTCCCCCCATGCCTTTGAAGCAGATAAGGGGGTGGTGTTGGGAGAATACAGAGGAAGAAGGAGGGGGAGTTATCCTGCATAAGCAGACATCCTGCATTCACATGGACATTTTT